CATGTGCCGCCCATGCTGGGCAGCATCAACCAAGCCTGGAGTCCTGCAAGAGAGGCCCATGCAGGAAGCATCTCAAAGGACCCAGGGCAGGGGAGCTGGCAGCCTCAGTGTCTGTGATGGGGCCCAGCCAGCAGCCACGTGCCCTCGGTGCCTTCTCGGCCGCTGCGCAGACACCCGGCTCTGTCTGGTGTGCGTGCGGGATGTGGCTTTGTGAGAGGCAGCTCCATGCCCAGCGCTTTCCCCGAAGCACTTGGAGCCGCGTGAGGGGAAAATGCCTCTTTGTGCTGGGGGAAGTGTCAGGTACTCGCAGCTGAATCAGCTTTTCATGGGCAGCAAGGCTCCTGGCTCAGGAATGCTGGCGCGGAGCAGCAGCTGGCAGGGAGCTCAGGGTCCCGCCATCCATCAGAGCCGGCGATCGCCCCCGGGGCGCAGAGCGGCTGTGGCTGGGTGGCCCCGTGGGGGCAGGGCTGGGACTTCGAATAAAGCTGCTGTGTTGAGAAACAGTGGAAGAGACAGGAACGAGGGGCCACGAGGGGGAGGAATCGTCCTGCTGGTGGGAGAGGTGAGTGGTCCAGCCAGACTGGCACTAATGGGCAGTGAATCGGCCTCGGCCAGGCCACTCGAGGGGCAGGCAGGGGTGGCTCCCCTGGACTCTGGTGAGGGGGGAGCAGCACAGAATCTGGGGCAAAGGGGACTTGCAAATACCTCCTGCACAGCCTACGTGTCCTTAGCCAATGCACTGCCTCCAGCACTGGCCCACTGGCCTTTGGTAGCTGGGTGGCTGAGGCCCTGTGGCATGGAACGGGATTGCCTGGGTATGTGTGCAGATGCTGTCATCACGTAATGTTGCCCACCCCTCTGCTCTCTGGGGCACAGCTGAGATGCGGTCTGCACTGCAACGGGCAAATTGAAAGGGTTATTGTTGAACTGGTGCAAATCCCGGGGGAGGGTGCACCTGTCTATTGGATTAAACCCGCCTTTTTGTTTGCACTTACAAATAAGGGCTTTTCTGCTTAGGAACTTGAACCGAAATAACTGAACGATCTGTGAACACCGAATAGACACAGACTGTTGGAGGCGTGTAAGGCAACAATGAGACAATTGATTCCATTAATTTTGTCTAACTTGGGGTGTGTCTAGACTACAGGGTTTTTTCGAAAAAAATTTCCCCTGTGTCTAGACTGCTGCCGCATTCTTTCGAAAGTAAATCAAAAGAACGTGGCAGATTTTTCGACTGCGGAAAACCTCATTTTACGAGGAAGAACGCCTTTTTTCAAAAGTGCTTTTTCGAAAAAAGGCGCTATGTAATGCAAAATGTGCTTTTTCGAAAGAGGGCATCCAGACTGCCTGGGTGCTCTCTTTCACTGTTTGTAGTCTAGACGCTCTTTTTCGAAAGAGGCTCTTTCGAAAGAGGCTTGCAGTCTAGACGTAGCCTAGATGACAGACAAAGGCTGGAGAACAATGTGACAGAAACAAATATCAGATTAGTTCCCCAATCTGGGAGGTTCCAGTTTCCATGTAGATAAACCCTTATGGCTGTAAACTGGACTGTTATAAACCAGCTTTGAGCAGATATAACTTAGAGGGTTACATCTATGTATTGTACCAAATACTGCCAGTCTGCCATTAATTAGAGAGAGAATGCTCCTCAAAGTGAAAACTCAATTGAAAGCCTATTTGATGCGGAAGCTACTTACGCTTCTATGACAGGGTCTAGAAGACTGTAAGCCCCGAAGAAAATGGAAACAGAAAGGCAAGGAAAAAACACACGGTTGGGTTAAATAATTGGGTTTCAAAAGGATATTTGAGCCAAAAAAGGTATCTTGCAGAAAATGAAGACTTCACCTAGATATCTATTGGGAAAGTAACGTGGCAAAACTTGCATTTCTAGTAAGTTACTGATGCATGGGGACACATTGTTATTTGAGAGCGTGGAGAAAGTAATCAAGGAGGCAGCCATTTTGGATTTGATTCTGACCTGCAAGGAGGAACTGGCAGGGAATCTGAAGGCGGAAGGCAATTTGGGTGAAAATTCTCACGAAATGGTAGATTGTAGGGTTCTAAGGAAAGGAAAGAAGCGAGGGCCGCAGAATAAGGACAGTGCACGACAACACCACCAACAAAACAGACTTGGCAGCAAATTCAGAGAACTGGTAGGTCCAGTCCTTTGGGAAGAGTACCTGAGGACGAAGTAGTTCAGGAGAGCTGGCAGCTTCCCGAGGATCCAATATTAAAGGCATAACTGACAACTATCCTGATGAGAAAGGAAAATAGGGAGAATAGAATCATAGAACCATAGAACTGGAAGAGACCTCAGAAGGTCAAGTCCAGCCCCCTGCTCTAGGCAGGACCAATCCCAACTAAATCAACCCGGCCAGGGCTTTGTCAAGCCGAGACTTCAACACCTCTAGGGATGGAGACTCCACTACTTCCCTAGGTAACCCATTGCAGTGCTTCACCACCATCCTAGTGAACTAGTTTTTCTTATACCAATAGTGAAAGGCCAATATGGCTCCATCAGGAGCTCTTTAATGGTCTGGAAATCATAAAGGAATCCTGCAAAAAGTGGGCCCATGGGCAGACTGATAAGGAGGAGAGCCCTAGAACAGCACAAGCATGTAAGGAAAAAATCAGAATGTCTAAGTCACAAAACAAATTACACCTGAGACATAAGAGGCAATAAGAAGAGGTTCTTCAAATCCATTAGGGGCAAAGAAGGAAAGTGTCAGTGTGCTCTGCGTAGTGGGGAAGGAGAGCTAAGAACGGATGCCATTAAGAAAGGGAGGGTGTTTAATGCCTACTGTGCTTCAGTCTTCAATAAAAAAGTGAATGTGACCACATACTCTGCCCCATTAATACTGACAACCAGGAGAAGGCATGCGAGCCACAACGGGGAAAGAACAGGTTAAAGAAAATGTAGAGAAGGTACGTAAGGAACTAGCTGAAGCAATTTTGGAATTGTTAGCAACTATATTGGAGAGCTTCTAAGGGCGGGTGATGTTCCAGATGGCTGGAGAAGGACAAACATCTCACCTCTCTTTAAAAAGGGGAACAAAGAGGACCTGGGGAATTATAAACCAGTCAGCCTCACTTCAATACCTGGTGGTACAAATCCTTAAACAATCAGTTTGCAGGCGCCTGGAGAATGCTGGGGTTATAAGGAAGAGCCAGCATGGATTTGTTAAGAACAAATCATGACAAACCAGTCTAATTTCCTTCTGTGGCAGGGTTACTGGCCTAGTGGGTGTGGGAAGCTGTATGCGATATATCTTGATTTTAGGAAGCCTTTTGACACAATTGCACATGAAATTCTCATAAGCCAGCCAGGGAATTGTGGTCGAGATGGAATTACTAGAAAGTAGGTGGCGTAACTGGTTGAAAGACCGTACTCAGTGGTTTGCCGTCACACTGGGAGGGCATGTTGAGGGGGTACAGCAGAGGTCAGCCCTGCCTCAGGTACAATGCAGAATTTCCCTGAATGCCTTGGCTAACCGAGTGGAAAGTGTGCTTATAAAGGACGCAAGCTGGGAGACAAGATTAGAATTCAAAATGACCCTGAGAAATTGGAGTGTCGCCCTGAATCCAACAGGATGGAACGCGGTAAAGACAAGTGACGCACATGCCACTTAGGAAGGAAAAATCAAATGCACGAATGAAAAACGAGGCACAAGCTGGCTAGGTAGAAACGGGCTGCACAGGCCGTGGGGCTGCAGTGAATCACCCTGACTGTGAGTTCACACGCCAGTGCCGCTGGGGAAAAGGCTGGGTGTGGTAACAGGAGTGTATGTAAGGCCTGGGAGGTAAAGACAAGTGACGCACATGCCACTTAGGAAGGAAAAATCAAATGCACGAATGAAAAACGAGGCACAAGCTGGCTAGGTAGAAACGGGCTGCACAGGCCGTGGGGCTGCAGTGAATCACCCTGACTGTGAGTTCACACGCCAGTGCCGCTGGGGAAAAGGCTGGGTGTGGTAACAGGAGTGTATGTAAGGCCTGGGAGGTAACAGTCCCACTGGCAGGGGGCTGCCAAGCACCTAGCCAAGGT